ATTATTGTATGTTAAGAAGTGGCCAAAACAACTTGGACTAGAAAATCACATGTTCCTTCATGTTTTAGTTATTTAGATAGCAAAAGCCTTAGGATATTGTCACAAGAAAATCCCAACCTCAAGATCCCTAGGATCCTATCCTATCTTCTAATTAATTCTTTCTTTGAAATTATTTTTCTATGTCTTTTGCGATAGATATTAAAGGTTATGATTCTCGATTTATATCCACGATTATGGGTTTTTCACGTGAAGCACATTTGTGGTCTAATGATGAATTAAAAAATAATTTGGAGCTTTAAACATTAGGAATCAAATTGAAGAACTTTGAATTCCTTCCTGAATTTAGATAGAAAAAAGCCTTAGGATAATGTCACAAGAAAACGCCAACCTCAAGAAGCCTAGGATCCAATCCTATCTTCTAATTAATTGTTTATATTATTTTTTATGCTTTTTACTATAAATATTAAAGATTATGATTCTAGATATATATCCACGATTACGGGTTTTTCATGTGAGGCACACTTGTGGTCTAATGACAAATTAGAAAATAATTTGGAGCCTTAAATATTAAGAATCGAATCGAAGAACTTTGAATGAGAAAAATTTTTTCGAGATTGTTAAATACATGTTAGGCTACTTTTTGAAGATAAACATGTGTTATCACCTAACTATTTCGGGAAATTTTAGATTCGAGATAAAATTAATTAAAATGGTTTCCATTAATATAAATAAGGTAGCATGAAAGTATCGATAAAAATCCAAAACTTGAGAAAAAAATCGATGTAATATAGGTTAACATCTTAATTTAAATTTAAAGAAAAAATTTTCATATATTAACTTTTAATAATTTTGAAATCGAAATTGAAATTTTTATTTCAATAATATTGTATCGTGTTTAAATTATCGATTTATGATTACAAAATTACTTAATTTTAAGTCAACGATTTTAATATTTTACTTTTTAAAAAATCGAATCGTACTCTTTAATAATTCATATTATATATATTTGACGCGTTAAGTTACGAAATTTGATTTTTCTTTGAACAATTTTAATTTCTTGCAAGCCAAACGCACTGCCAATTGTTGCCCATTGACTATCCCCGCAATGTAGAAAATTCAAAGTCATAGACTTGGAATCAAGACTTTCTTCTCTTCTCCAATCACTTGACCTCTCTAGTTTCATCTAGGCCGTCCAAACCTCGTCAAACACCACCCACATGCTTACGTGGACGGTCATGATTCAATATCAAAATCTTTTGTCGCCAACGTTGACTTCTTTATTTTCCTACATACAAGGAAACAAAACCTAGAAACCAGCTCCGAAAGCATGTACAACGTGGTAAAACTAAAACGACCAATCAAAATCAAAATTTTTTATACATCGAGTATATATTTTAATCCATATTGTCATCTAATTCATTAGTAGTGTATAAGATCGGACAGTGTATTGAATATAAATTCAAAAAAATAATTTTTTTTTATTTTAAAGTTTAGTAATGAATTGCTATTAATTATAAAAATAGATTCAATTAAAATCGTAATCCGGGACAATCCGAACTTCCTAAACTAATTTTTTAGTTACCATAAACATTCATAAATTAAACCTATATAGGTTAATATAAATTAACCCTAGTTAATCCACCAAATCTTGTTAACCTAAAAACTTCTCCTATAAATACCACTCGTCAAAACCCTTTAGCTTTTCCCTAACTTCGTGTTCGGTTACCCTTCTTGCAGATAAAGTTTCTGCTTCTCATATCTCTCCTTTGTCCTTTATGGTGAGTTCTCCAAACCCTTTTGTGTTTTTGGGTTGAATCCTTCGTTTTTTATGGCAAAATCTTTGTATAGTCCGCAAGTTTTTGCATGATTTTTTTGTATTTTTTTAACTTATGTGTGTGCGTGATTTTCATGAGCAGATGCCTGGGGTCAATCCTGAGCAATCCGACAAGGATTCGGAGCCGTTTGTAGAGGTCGATCCGACTGGCCGTTATGGTCGTTACGCTGAACTTCTAGGTTCGGGGGCGGTCAAAAGGGTCTACCGCGCATTTGATCAAGAAGAAGGGATCGAAGTTGCATGGAACCAAGTCAAACTGAGGAACCTTTCCAACGATCCGTCGATGATCGACAGGCTGTTTTCAGAGGTTCGGTTACTGAGATCATTGACCAACAAGAACATAATCTCGTTGCACAATGTCTGGCGCGACCAGGAACATAACACCCTGAATTTCATTACAGAAGTCTGTACTTCTGGGAATTTGAGGGAGTACAGGAAGAAGCACAGGCAGGTGTCGATGAAGGCATTGAAGAAATGGTCGAAGCAGATTTTGACAGGGTTGGATTATCTGCATACTCATGAGCCTTGTATCATTCACAGAGATCTCAATTGCAGCAATGTTTTTGTTAATGGAAACACCGGCCAGGTATATGCTCATGGTTAGATGATGGTGATGATTCTGTCTTTCTTTTTTAAATGTTTGGTTACTAGGAAAAAGCAAGGAAAAGTAAAGAAGGTAAAAGGTATAGAGAATATAATTCTCTTATTACTTTATAGTTTTATTCACTGTTTCAGTATCTTCAACAGGTTAAGATTGGTGATCTGGGATTGGCAGCCACAGTGGGGAAGAGCCATTTGGCACATTCAGTCCTCGGGACACCGGAATTCATGGCACCGGAGCTGTACGAGGAAGACTACACAGAACTTGTCGACATATACTCATTTGGTATGTGTGTGCTTGAGATGGTGACCTTGGAAATCCCCTATAGTGAGTGTGACAATGTGGCCAAGATTTACAAGAAGGTGTGCAGTGGGGTGAGGCCTCAAGCCTTGAGCAAGGTTAGGGATCCGGACGTCAAGGCATTCATTGAGAGGTGCCTTGCTCAGCCTAGGGCAAGGCCCTCTGCAGCGGAGCTCCTCCGGGACTCATTTTTCGATGAAGTTGATGATGATGATGAAAATATTGATAGCGGAATTTCTCCATGACTAAATGCTAATTTTCAATGTAGTATCTATAACTGAATTAGGCCTAGGGTTTTTGTATTGTTTATCTTTGTCTAATCTTATAGTGTTCATGATTGATTTGGATGCAAATCCAAATCAATGGTTAGGTTTTTTTTCCCCTTAAATCTCTCTTACAAGTAGGTTAATTGGATAACTTAGAAGAGTTCCTTTTAGGGGAAGGAAAGTTGCTTAATCTTTTAAGGGTTCTAAAGTTCATTTTGTACATATTGTTTTTTCAAACATACAATATATCTAAATATATATGGGAAAGACAAAAATTTACGATTTATTGTATGGAAAACTCTTAATATCTTGAACATGAATTTTTTGAATTTGAAAATTCAAACACACGGATAAAAGATCAATTCAGATTCAAATTGCATTCGAAGTAAAGTCAAAGCAAAATCTGATAGATTCAAATTGAATCCCTTTGAATGGGGCTGTAAAGAACATGCTTATATGTCTTTGAGGAGAGCCAACCTATGAGGAGAATGTGACGTTCAAGGAAACGACCTTTCAAGCCTATGTAAAAGCACAGCTCTTGGCGTGTGGTGAAGAGAAGCATATTTTATTATAGGGAAGTTGGGTGACAAAGAGACCTTCTCCTTTTCTTTTTTCTATACTGCTGTCACGCTCAAATTTGTTGGGAAAATTATTGCAAGCCTGGCCCTGATCTGGTCTGACTGGTTTTTCCATTTTCCCAAAATAAAAAAAAGGGTTTGTAGAATTTGGCATCATAAGTTTGTCTAGTGCTTTTGCTTTGCTTTTTTGTATTTCCTTTTGTAAGAAAATGGGTTAGTTTGGATGGGAAAATTGAATATGGAGAATATAGTATAATGATATATATGCTTAGAATTAGTCTGCCTTTAATCAGTGCTTTTGGGGGAGAAACTTTCAACTCTTTAAATGATTCTAGTTCCCCCACTACAATCTCAAATTAGAAAACTAATCATATTATAAAATTCATTTGGCTGACTTTTGAGGCAAAAAGCAAAATTTAATGTTCTCAAACAAAACATGGAACCATGATTTTCATTTTTAAACGTATTTTCATGTTTTTGCAATGTGATTCCTTGATGAACAGTGAGGCCTGGATTGGAATGTGAGAGGCTAATAGAACCAACCATGTGAATTGACTGGGTCATTTGCAACTTGCTGGTGAAATAGAAGCCTTTTGGTTCCAGGAAAAAACAGCTGTAAATCCATTAGTCAAAGGGATAATGTCTTTGTTGGATGTCTGAAAGGGTTGACTGATGATTGAACAGGCAGAAGAATGGTCTTTGCCAGCTCTTCTTGTCTCTGCAGATTGGGAGATTTCCAGACATATCGCATTTGACATCCCCAAAGATCAGGCCAAGGAAACATAACTTTATTTTAGGTTGATTTAAGGAAAAGAAAGGGTAAACTTTTGATAACCCAAGCAAGTTAATAACTTGAGTATGAGGTATGCCTGTTGCCTTCTGCTTGTCAATGCATGTTTGCTGCTTCTTGGCTTTACAGTACAAGGTTTAGTTAATTAGGACTTTCCAAAAGACAAACATTGTTCTTGTCCAAATATCTTATCACTTCTTGATGATGATGTTGCTCCATGAATTTCCTTAATCAAAAAATTAATCAAACTACTGTTAGTATGATGATCTACAGAAAGAAAGAAAAGTTTTAGATGTTTGTTGGCATGATTCTGCAGCCATCTGATCAGAAGAGATTATGATAGCTCAAAATGTTAGCAGAAACCAACAGACTACGAGCAAAATAGTGAATATGTCTCAGTAATATTCTAGTATGAGTCTGGTGTCTCATTGAAGATATCGAATTACGTGAAGTTTGTGAATGTTGCTTGTATAAAGTATTAAAAAATGCATACATGAAGCTTTGGGAACTAAGATGGAATATGTCCTTATAAGATTTATCGAAACAAGGAGGAACAATGATGTATTGTGATTCTATCAAGGTGCCTTCCTGGGTAGAAAACTAGTTATGACTGCATCTTGCCACATTTTTGATGACCCAACAAAGTAGTCTAAAGATGTACAGAAGGGGAGATTTTGACCTGTTTTTGAAGGGGCTAATATGCATTGCAGTTTTTCCTCTATTAGCCACAGTTTGCATGGGAGGTAAGTTCAACGAATCCGAATCTTTCCTTAGCTTCATTAGATCTGTTGATCCCCAAAACAAACTGGAAACTCAATGGAATGAGTTGTCACAAAATCCCTGCTTGCTTAAGTCTAAAGGTGTAAAGTGCAATCTGCAGGGTACCTCCATATTAGAAATAAGGCTTGATAATTTGAATCTTAGTGGGGTAATAGATGCACATGACCTTTGCATGCTCCAAAACCTTGAAGTTCTCAGCTTAGCAAGAAATCTTATACATGGAACTATACCTAGCTCGATATCACACTGCACAAGGCTGAGGTATCTAAATCTGAGTAGCAATTCTCTAACTGGGAGAGTTCCTGGCACTCTAACTAAGTTGAAATATCTCAGGAGTTTGGACATCTCTAACAATCATTTTACTCCCATCGGCCCACATGTGAAACAGGAATTTAAGCATGTTTATAAGTATTCCAAGGAACCAGTCGCATTGCAAAGAGATAGTCATTTAAAAACAACAGGACATGATGAACGGGCTTCAGCTCCTCCAAAGGACTCTAGTGATAAAAAGTCAAACAATCTATTGTTGGCTATCTTGCCCTTAGTTCTTGGCAGTGGGTTGTTCTTCCTGTTATTATACTATTTGAGCAAGAGGGCTGATAAAATAAATAGAGAGAAGGAGATTCTGAATGCTCTCAAAGAATCTCCTCTCAAATTTCCTCCAGTCGGTGCTACAGAGGAAGCGAAGCCTGAGGATAGGCACCAAGAGCTTGTGTTCTTTGTTGAAGATCATGAAAGCTTTAAACTAGATGATCTCCTAGAAGCCTCAGCAGACTTACGAAGCCAGGGCCTTTGCAGCAGTCTTTACAAGGTAATACTTAAGAACAATGCCACTTATGCTGTCAAAAGATTGAAGAAATTGCAGGTGTCCTTCGAAGAGTTTGCCCAGACAATGAGGCAGATAGGTAACTTGAAGCATCGAAATATTCTACCGCTTGTTGGCTACAATTGTTCTAATGAAGAAAAGCTTCTGTTCTACAAGTATCAGAGCAATGGGAGCCTCCTAAACCTGCTGAAAGGTAAGTTGAGAATCTTAAGATCAATGAGGCTGGTCATCCCGTGATCAAACCAATTTAGGCTTTCCAGCAAGCATGCAGGTGCACCCACACCTCACTCATGTACAGACCAAGGTGGTCAAGCATTACGGCATTGCATTATTCTTTCACACAAGCACGAGAAAATTGAGACCAACGTTCTTTCATCATCTTGATCTTTTAGCATCTGTTTTTGAACTTAATTAACAATTTTATGACTGGCTTTAGCTGTCAAAATGTCTTCTGTCCTGTATCTCAGATAATTGTTTTGTTAACATGCAGACTACATTGAGAAGAAAAAAGATTTTCCATGGAGACTTAGGCTGACCATAGCAAGTGGCATTGCGAGGGGTTTGGCGTTCATATATCAGAGTTCGAACGAGCAGGAGATCATTCCTCATGGAAATCTAAAGCTCTCAAATATACTGTTGGGTGAAAACATGGAACCATTAATAAGTGAATATGGGATTTCAAGACTTTTAAATCCCCAAGAGCAATGCCTCTTCTCCTCCAATGGTTATACTGCACCCGAGAAAAGTTTATCAGAACAAGGCGATGTTTATAGCTTTGGAGTTATCCTACTGGAGTTACTTACTGGCAAAACTGTGGAAAAAACTGGTGTAGACCTTCCCAAGTGGGTCAGATCGATGGTGAGGGAAGAATGGACTGGAGAGGTCTTTGACAAGGAGGTCAGTAAATCTGCTTTGCAGTGGGCATTTCCTTTGCTGAATATTGCTCTTAAGTGTGTCTCTCATTCCCCACAAGATAGACCAGCTGCATCAGAGGTCTTGGAGAAGATAGATGAGGCTTTGTTTGCACACGGAGATCTTTCGGTTTCTTCTACGTCTTCTTTTGAATCCGGCCATCCAGATTGCTGTATACTTCACAGTGTCATACCTGAGACTTGGGACACTCCAGGATCAAATTATTAGTGGACATTTCGATATGTTTTATATTCCATTTTCACTTCAGCACTAGAACAATAGTACCGTTTCCTCTGTTTAGCAGGAAGAACTTCCATGTTAAGTACAATAAGACATTCTATCTAAGCCTTTTACAGGAAAGGCAGAAGCCAATGTACATAATGAGGAAGAGTGAATCCGACCATAAGTCATGTTATTATCATAGTAGACTTTATAAGCACTTGTCTGTTGTTTGCTTGTCTCTTTTTCTTTGAAAGGTACCTTCTAACACTTATTAATTGAAATTCATCTGAGACCTTGACACAAGCAGGAAGGGTTGCAAGATACTTCTGTTTAATCCAAACCAAGAAAGTTTATGTTTAATGTAGCAAGCTTAACATTTATTACTTACCTGTTGCTGTGCAGCTCTATCAGGGTGAAATCTGCATGCCAGACTGCAGTTTCTTTGTTCTTCCACTACCCTTATTTCCGAGTTATGTAATAACTTTAGAAATATACTCTACTTTGAAAAACTATCAAGGCAATCATCATTTTATCATAAGTCTTGAAATAAGATCAAAATGACATGTGAAACATGCTCAAACAGTAGCATCCCTGCTGCAACTTGCATTCACAAATATTTTTTAATAAATTATGAAAGAAAAGTTAAAATTCTTTCATTTGTTATGTATCCAATTTCATGAATTTTCTGTCATGGAGAAGTTGATGGCAGAAATAATGGGATTTGGCCATTTGGGATCATCAACCTGTTGTAATGGTTCAACATCGTTTCTTAGATTGGTTTGTTCTCTTATGTATATATATTTTAAGAAAATGCAGGCCAAATCATTAAATATCCCAAAAATATCTTCACTACAATCCGATATCTCTTTTCTAAACCAGATTAGGCATTGAACCTTGCTTTCTGCTTACACCAAATGAAATTTTTATGCCAGCCTAACTGCAAAAAGTTGTTCAACCAATATTAGAAAATTATAAAAAAAAATAATATAAGCATCCAAGGACCCTCATTGAACTTTCCGAAACGTGTAGTTTAACATCGAAATTAAGGTTTAAATAGGAGATTAAGGACTAGATCAAGCAACATTTAGCTGGCTGATGTTGGTCACTTATGCCACTAATTTAATAGGACTTTTGGTCTAATGTGGGGAGAAGAAATGAAGCCTCCTAAACCTTTCTGGTTGTTGATTTTGGTATCTGTCTAATCAAAGGGCTTTTAACTTGTGAATGCATCAAATCTGAAATGTCACAGATGGCTTAAAACAAAACTGAACAAACATTGGATTGTACTTGATTTCAGAACTCAATCCTCAATGTTATCTTGAAGAGGTTTAAGACAAAATCCAGAACATGACATGATGATTGCCATGAACTTGTAATAATCTGATGATGTTCTTAAAACCACCTCCCCTCCCTTTTTTTTTATTTTTTTATGTCATGAGCTTTGGTCTAACATGTAAGTTTTAACTCCACTAATTGTGTGTGTGGTGTCAAGCCAGGCAGGCACAATCTGTACCAAAAGGGTTTCCATTGTAGACATGAACATAGAAAACAACAGCATGCCAAATTTTTTGAACCAACCTGTCTATCAACATATGATATAAAATAAGAAGAAAAAGAAAAAGAAATTAATGATTAAAAAATGGAAATTTAAGGTCTAAAAAAGTGGTCCAAAAGTCTGCTTCATGATTAAAAATGCAAAAGTTGAAACATGATTTTGGTTCTAACATGCAATCCCAAGCAAGGAATAGTTAATGCCATATGCTTAATTGATTCAATGTTTGTACAAGAATCAAAATATAATTTTTATTAATTTTCTTAAAAAAAGAAAAAGGAAGTAAAAAAAGAAAAACATCACCATCTCCTGCCATCACTCTTTAGGCTACTCCAAATATTCTTACACCAGAGGATTGCCAATCTCAATCTTCTCTCTCCCTCTACATATATATTCTCTCTCTTCTCTCTCTACCTCTCTCCTCAAATTCCATTTCTTTTGATTTAATTAAGAGGAGTGGAATAACCAAGAAAGATAGAAAAAGAAACAGAGGAGGAGAGAGAGAGAGAGAGAGGGGAGAAGGAGAGAAAGGCCTTTTTAAAGAGAAAGATAAAAAATGAGCAACAAAAACTCCTCTTCTGTTTCCATTGCCATCATTTCTCATCTCAGATCTTAATTTGCTTCCCATTTTCTAAACTGGGTCATTTCCAAGATGGTAAATTTTTGTCTTCTTCTTCTTCTTCCTTCTCCTTCCGCATCTCTGTTTCTCTCTGTTTTTCTCTCTGTTTCCTGATCTTTCTCTGGACTTTTCCTTTGTCTTGATCCACATAATTTGGTCTCAATTCTGAATTTTTTGTGATTACCAGGAAGCTTGGGTTGTTTTCTGATTGGTGCATGAAGTTTTCAGATGATCCTAGATTGGATTTGACAACTACCCACTTTGTCTTGATCAGGTTCTGTCTATAATTCATAAGAAAAGGTATGTTGTTTCTTTTAATTTTCCTGTTTGATTGTTGTTATTGTTCACATTTTGATCTGTTTTGGTTTGTTTTCCGGAATAAGGATGGATCCTTTTAGCTGCTGATGATAATTTGATAATTCAGAATTGGTTTTTAAAGTTATCAAAGAGTTTCATTTATTGAATTGGTGTTAGGATTCTGATTGAATTTGAAAAATTTTAATATTCGAATCCGATTGTGGTATTTTGTTTTGAGAAAAGTTTAGATTTTTCTTTCTGGGACTGAAATCGGTGGTTGATGATGGTGATTGCAGATAAGATGGAATCAGATCTTGGTAAACTCTTCATTGGTGGGATATCTTGGGACACCGATGAGGAACGTCTCAAGGAGTATTTCAGGAAGTATGGGGAAGTGGTGGAGGCAATGATCATGAGAGATCGTGTCACAGGTCGTGCCCGTGGCTTCGGTTTTGTTGTCTTTGCTGATCCTGCTGTTGCTGAAAGGGTAATTATGGATAAGCATATGATTGATGGTCGCACGGTGAGAGCCTTGATTATGATTATCCTTTATGCATTACAGATTGAATTGGGATTTTAAACTTTTCTTTCCTTCTAAAACACTAGAAAATGCCAACAGAGGAGGGATGTTATTTCTCCTCAATTAATTTGAGATTTGTGATAATCACAGTGAGTTTGAACTATTTTCTGGCATTGACTTAGTATGGCTTTGTTTGAGTGAATTTCTATCCAGTTGTTAGCTTGGGACAGAAAAAGTGATACAATTGTTTGATTAAAGTTTCTGACTGCTCAATGTTCAGGTTGAGGCAAAGAAGGCTGTTCCTAGGGATGATCAACACATTCTAAACAGGAACGTGAGTGGCATTACTGGATCTCCTGGTCCTGGACGCACAAAAAAGATTTTTGTTGGAGGTTTAGCATCTACGGTCACTGAGGGTGACTTTAAGAAGTACTTTGATCAGTTTGGTTCAATTACTGATGTTGTGGTGATGTATGATCATAACACGCAGAGGCCGAGAGGGTTCGGCTTCATTACTTATGATTCAGAGGATGCAGTAGACAGAGTCCTGCATAAAACATTCCACGAACTCAACGGGAAATTGGTTGAGGTCAAGAGGGCAGTTCCTAAAGAACTATCTCCAGGCCCCAGCCGCAGCCCTATGATTGGGTATAATTATGGTTTGAGTAGGGCTGCCAACTTCCTCAATAGTTATGCTCAGGGATATAATCTTAGCCCACTTGGAGGCTTTGGAGTCAGGATGGATGGTAGGTTTAATCCTCTTGCTAGTGGTCGAACTGGGTTTCCTCCATTTAGTACCACTGGATATGGAATAGGTATGAATATGGAACCAGGAATGAGTCCTAGCTATGGTGGGAGTTCCAACTTTGGCAACAGTCTTGGATACGGAAGAATAATTAGTCCCTATTACAGTGGGAATTCAAACAGGTATAACACTCCTATCGGCTACGGTGTAGGAAGTGGAAGAAATGATTCTGTTTTGAGCTCTGCTACTAGGAATGTCTGGGGAAATGGAGGCCTAAGCAATGCCTCAAATGCTTCCAGCCCTGGTGGTTACTTGGGTTCTGGAGGTGGGAGTTTTGGTTCTTTAGGAAATAGTGGAGTAAATTGGAGCCCTTCTCCTGCACAAAGTGGAGGGAATGCTTCTGGCTATACTGGGAGTGCTGGTTATGGGAATGCTGATGATAACTATGGTTTGGGAGGGGGAGGATATGGGAGAAACGGTGGCACTGTTGCAGCTCCAACATCATCATTTGCTGGGTCAACTGGTAGTTTTGAGGGGTCCTATGGGGATCTCTACCGCAGTGGTTCAGTTTATGGTGACTCAACTTGGCGGTCTGCAACTCCTGACTTAGATGGCTCTAGCTCATTCAGTTATGGGCTTGGCAATATATCATCAGATGTTACTGTACGAACTTCTGAGGATTATGTTGGAAGTTACAGTGTTGCAAGTAGACAGTCCAATAGAGGTAATACTCTCTTTAGTTTCGTTAAGTTTTTTGTTTTTTGAGAAATAGCTTTTGAATTTAGGTTAGATTTATTCTAGATTTACCTGGATGCAAATAACTACTTTCAACTTCAGGGTTTGGGTTGAACTTTCTTAACTCTAGACGAAAATTTCTTTTTGCTGGAAACAAAATTGCAGTTATAGTTTATGGATGTTGACAAAATCAATATAAACTTGTTTCTGGCATCTAATTAGCAGAGGGAGTCAAAAAGAATAAAGATAAATTCATTTGTATAAGGTAGAACTAATTTGTTTTAAGTTCATGGAGTTTGAATTTAAGGTGGCGATCATACTCGTTTTTCCTTATTTAGCAATTGTTTTTGGAATGGACTCTGAAGTCTTATCTTTAGTCATATCTGATTTCAACTCCTGTAAGGACAGCCAACTGTTTACTTTTCTTGTGGTGCCATGATAGGATCCATCGGTGTCAATTACTTTATCCGACCTCTCTGCATATATGCTTGCTTTTTTAACAGTTCGCATCAGTGAATATTTGTCAGAACTTTTCTTTTGGGCCTGCATCAACTTGATCTTGTTGTATGTAACTTGGAAGAAATCAGTAGCGAAAGTTAACTTCAATATCAAACTTAATTAGTGTCTTTCCTGCACTTGTTCTGCTACGCATAGAAGAAATTCAATAATCTGAAAATTATTATTGTCATAGGACTGAAAGATGATTTTTTACATGCAGATACTTGACGTTGATTCTGAACATTTCATTTATGCTGATATGTTGAGGCTCGAGAGTCGTATGCCAGCTGGCTGCATTTGTTAATTCTTATATTTGTTGGTTTCTTATTCAGGAATTGCTGCCTAGGAGATCTGTTACTTGGATATCAGAAGTTATAATGTAGGTTTGAATGAATTTGAGCAAACAGGTGAAAAGTTTGTGAATTTGATACAACTGCCTCATTACTATGTCAGCTTACACGGAAATTGATCTTATAGCACTAACGAGGGTTATTGATTTGAAATATACACATTCAGAGTGAGCAGTTACAAGGGATTTTGTGTAAGGTTTGAGATTTGATTTTTTTTTCTTTTTTATTTTTAATAGTGAAAATTTAGGTCCTTTCTTGGCATTTGAGTGAGGTGTAAAATCAGATTGCGGGATATATACTCCGGATGATTGGTTCCAATTAATGTACCATGCATCTCCAGCAAGGCATGCCAGTAGTAGTACATCAAAACAATAGGGTATTAATTTTTTTCCTTTTTTTTTTTTTGTAATTTTTTCAGCTGCTGTAATGCCTGGCAGAGTTGCTGGTTCTTGTCCTTATATTTCCTTCATATTATCTGGGATTGTTTTTCTCTCAGAATTGTAAGGACTTTCTGTTCAATTTACTAGTGTGAAACATTAGAGGGATATCCATATAAAATCCCAATCAAATAAGTTACAAAGTATTCTGATTCATTTGTTATTTACATCAAACAACTTTATTCGTCATGCATGTAATAACTGTTTGCTTTTGCTGCTAAGCTCTCCATCAGGCGGATTCAAGAACATGGCAATCATCTTCATGCTATTAGGTTATGAGAGACTTGATTCCTATGGTTGTGATGTACTGATATGATGGAAAAATTTGGACTGTTTGCCATGTCTGGAATGTTACAAATGCTGCATTAATTGTCTTTCTAGTTGTATTTTTCCATCATCTGCTGATAAAATTTTTGCAGTTGTTTGTTCTCTCTGACTATTCTGTGTGGTCACACTGAGCTCTTATCCATACTTCCCATGGAAAAACTGGAAATGTCTTTGCTTGGGGTTTTCAAATCACTTTCATTTTGAATTTTACTTTTATAGTGGCACACCCCCAAAAATAGATACTACCATGTTAGTGGTCCTCTCTCTACCTCTCTCTCTGAATTTTTATGGCATTTTGTCTTGGTAAAAGCTTTTTGTTATGTGGATTTTAGGAGGCTGCCACTATCCAAATCACTGTTGTGGGTTTCCATTATCCACTTAAAAGTTGCCAGAAATGATAACATCAGCAGCTTGCAAACTTATCGGTGGGGGCAAAAGGCCCATGGCGAATTGGGTCCAGGTGTTTTTGGGGGCTGAGGAGATGAGAACCTTTCATGATGAGAAAGAGCACATCTTTTTCACCCCCACCCATTGGTTTCTTTTCTTGGTGCATCTACTTTTGTTGATAAAGTTCAGGTGCCCATGAATAACCAAACATGGATGATGGATCTGGAATAATGACTTCACTTGAAACGGACGATGAACTTTCACTCCCAGTAGTTGGCAAAACCAGATGTTGAATCAACTAACATGAAATAATCAATGCAAAAACACACGTCCATGGAGCTGGCACTGACATCAACTATTCAATTATCGCAAGGAAATGGTAAGTTGTTGAATCTGAAACTTCAAGATGTAATCATGGATGGGAAAACTGGGAATATGGTTCCTGATTTTTCCACATGAATATGACATTCACAGGGGTCCCAAAACTTAGAAGAAATTTTCTTCAATGGCCCTGATTGCACCGCAAACATCACATGTTGGCCAACTGCACATCACCCGAGGCAAGCAGTACTACCTAGAATTTGTACAAGTTGCTGCCAGGGAAGGAGGCGTGGTTCACCATGCAAAAGTGTGGGGTATGTTTGGTCTTCTAAAAAAAACTGTAAATTAATCTTTAGACCTGCAAATTAAGAAGAAAAAGGTTCTTACAGAATGTCCAAACATGTCTTTACTGGCAAAAATCAAATTTATCCCTTAAAAAAAGGATAATTTGTCCAAGACTCAACTGCCCTTTTTCTTCTTAGCTTTATAGGATTCTAAATTCTTCATTCTCCTCAATGAGAAAGAAAGAGAGAAAAAGAGAAAGTTAGAACAAAGCCAAAAGGTCAAAAAGGTGTAGGCCTCCATTTACACCAGCAAGAAGTACTACCTTCGATGTTATTTAAAACTTTAACTTTAACCAAGCAAAGTTACTTGATTAATGAACCAGGATCGAGTGAAAACATGGATTAGAATAATGTGAAAAGGTACCTTTACCTTTGAAACAATGTTGCTGTAAGGAATAACTTTGGGATGAAGGAGAGAATATGGAAGAAAAATTGCATCAAAAATACAAAATTAGACTGTAGCATATGAGCATGAATGTCAACATCATGAATCCAGGTTCAACATAATGGTGCTTTATCTAACATTTTTCTGAAGAAAAACAAGTTTTGCTATCTTTCGTTCGCAGTGTTTGACATTGGCAATGGCATCAAACCAGAAGTTCAGAGATCTCCAATGGTTTCTGCAGGCATTGGAGACTCAAAGCCTTAACCTACACAGCATTTCCTTCTACCTTTCTCAACCTGTTTCAGGCTGTTATCAAGAAACGGAAAGTTCCATGAACATAAACATTTCCACAGATTGCCTTGAATATTTCTCCCTCATTCTTATAGTACTAGGACCAGCCAAAAACACCTTGCTGTCTCTCAGGGATTTGGAGTTTCACTGTGTTGAATGGGAATTACAACAAATGCAAAATCTTGGAGAGCTTTTAGATAGTAACTTAAACATCAAGCAACTAGTGTTTCGGCGGAACAGATTCAATGCAGATTGTTTATCAGAGTTTTCTGATATTTTGAAGAGAAATGGAGCTATCAAAGAGGTTTTGTTTTCTGAATCACGTATTGGGACCGTTGGTGCCACATTTCTTGCGTCAACTCTCAAGGTGAATGATAGCTTGGAAGAGTTACAGATATGGGAAGACTCAATTGGATCGAAAGGTGCTGAGGAGCTCTCAAAGATGATTGAAGCAAACTCAATGCTGAAGCTTTTGACAATTTTTGACTCAAGCTCGATCACAGCAACCCCTCTTATATCTGCTGTTTTAGCAAGGAATAGAGCCATGGAAGTCCATGTATGGAGTGGAGAAAGTGGAGATAAAAGTTCCAAGGTGGTTGAGTTTCTACCTGAGAGTAGCACACTTAGAATTTACAGGATCGCTGTTTCAGGCGCTTGCAGGGTTGCTTGTGCTCTTGGTTTGAATTCGACTGTTACATCATTTGACATGACTGGAGTACGTCTGAAATCCCGGTGGGCTAAGGAGTTCAGGTGGGTTTTGGAGCAGAACCAAAGCCTGAAAGAGGTAACCTTGTCGAAAACTTGCCTTAAAGACAAGGGAGTTGTGTATGTGGCAGCTGGACTATTCAAGAACAGGCATTTGGAACGCCTGCATCTTGATGGAAACTGGTTCAGTGGGGTAGGTGTGGAGCATCTACTCTGCCCTTTGAGCAGGTTCTCTGCTTTGCAATGCCAAGCCAACATAACACTAAGGTCAGTGACATTCGGAGGAAATAGAACAAAAATAGGAAGAGATGGACTTGCAGCCATATTGCAGATGTTAACAACCAATGAAACTTTGACTCGGCTAGCAATTGTTGATGATCAAAGTATGAGACCAGATGATTTTTTCAGAATCTTCAATAGCTTAGAGAAGAATGCCAGTTTGAGGCGCTTGTCCTTACAAGGTTGCAAAGGGGTTAGAGGGGAGAGGGTGCTGCAAGCAATAATGGAGACACTACAAATAAATCCTTGGATCGAAGATATTGATCTTGCTAGAACACCACTGCATAATGCAGGGAAGGCAGATGCAATTTACCAAAGATTGGGCCAGAATGGGAAGACTGAACCTGAAACTGAAAATGATTTGCTCAAGGACATGCCACTGACAGAGCCCAAGAGCTGTAGGGTATTCTTCTGCGGCCAAGAGTATGCAGGTGAATTTAACTACACTGAACCTTGCTAATTTTAGAACTCAAATGCTGAGATCAAAGATAATTATTTCTTTTAGTTGCTCTCTGCAGGAAAGACAACACTTTGCAATTCAATATCACAGAATTTCTCTTCTTCAAAGCTTCCCTACATTGAACAAGTGAGGACCCTCGTAAATCCAGTTGAACAAGCTGTTAGAACAGTTGGAATGAAGATAAAGACTTTCAAAGATGAAGACACAAAGATATCAATATGGAATCTTGCCGGTCAGCATGAGTTCTATTCTCTTCATGATCTCATGTTTCCGGGGCATGGGAGTGCATCATTTTTCCTGATCATATCCAGTTTATTCAGGAAACCAAGCAACAGGGAACCAAAGACTCCAATGGAGATTGGAGAGGACCTTCAATATTGGCTCAGGTTTATTGTTTCCAACTCGAAAAGAGCTGTCCAGCAATGCATGCTACCAAATGTAGCAGTAGTCCTCACACATTATGACAAAGTCAATCAAACATCACAGAACTTACAGGCCACGGTGAATTCAATACAAAAATTGAGAGACAAGTTCAATGGGTATGTTGATTTCTATCCAACTGTGTTTACTGTTGATGCAAGATCATCTGCATCGGTCAGCAAACTCACCCATCACATTAGAAAAACAAGCAAGACTATTCTCCAGAGAGTTCCTCGGGTTTATCAGCTTTGCAATGATCTTATACAAATTTTATCTGATTGGAGATCAGAGAACTATAACAAGCCAGCTATGAAGTGGAAAGAGTTTGCTGAGCTATGCCAAGTTAAAGTTCCACCTCTGAGGATTCGCTCTCGACATGATAATAAGGAGAAAATCGAAAGGAGGAGGACAGCTGTTGCTACTTGTCTTCATCATATTGGGGAGGTGATATATTTTGATGAATTAGGCTTCCTAATTTTAGACTGTGAGTGGTTTTGTGGTGAAGTACTCAGTCAACTGATAAAATTAGAGGTTAGAAGGCAAAGCTCAGCAGAGAATGGATTCATCAGCAGGAAAGAGTTGGAGAAGATTTTACGAGGAAGTCTACAGAGCCAGATTCCAGGAATGGGTTCAAAGGTGTTTGAGAACTTAGAGGCCAATGACGTTGTAAAAATGATGATGAAGCTTGAACTATGCTATGAACAAGATCCATCTGATCCAAATTCTCTGCTATTGATTCCCTCAATTCTTGAAGAAGGTAGAGGAAAACCACAGAAATGGCAACTAAGCTCCTCTGATTGCCTTTATGCAGGGCGACATCTTCAGTGTGATGATTCAAGCCATATGTTTCTTACACCAGGCTTCTTTCCACGTTTACAGGCAAGAGTTTTAGCTCACCTTGACCCGTTCAGCCTTCCCTTTCTGTTCTCTTTTGCATATTAGCTTTTCCTTTTGAAGCTACGACATCTAGTAGTCTTATTACTCTAGTTTGAAAAAGACCATAGAAACAGACTTTATCAATCATGATGTAAATAAGAGTTGTCAGCTTACTTATCCACTTTGGATTCTTCAAATTATATATTTAGCAGTGATTTATTATTCTTTTGTAGCTATAATAATTAAAGTATAGGACAGACGCACCATGGGAACATTTGATTAAAGAAGAGTTTTTTGAATGATAATCTCTGCAGGAGAAGTGTCCTAGTCTCAATTTCTCACCAAATTTCACTATTTGCAAATACAGGTGCACCTTCATAATAGAATCATGGCACTGAAGAACCAGCATGGAGCTACTTATAGCCTAGAGAAATACCTCATTTCTATAACTATCAATGGTATCCATATCAGAATAGAGCTTGGAGGACAGTTGGGTTACTATGTTGACATCCTTGCTTGCTCCACCAAGAACCTGACAGAAACACTCAGGCTTATCCAACAGCTCATAGTTCCAGCAATTCAAAGCCTCTGCCATGGTGTAACTTTGATTGAAAATATTATGAGGCCTGAGTGTGTGCAAAACCTGATTCCTCCCAGGTACAGGAAATCCCAATTTGTGCCTCTTCAACAACTTAAACAAGCACTACTCTCAGTTCCAGCTGAAAGCATGTACGATTATCAGCACACCTGGGATTCAGTGTCAGATTCGGGCAGATCGATTCTTAGAGCTGGGTTTCATTTAGCCCGAGACCTCCTATCAGATGATGACTTCCGGGAAGTGTTACACCGAAGATATCATGACCTGTACAACCTTGCTGTGGAACTGCAAGTTCCACCAGAAAATAATCCAGATGAAGCAGAGAATTCTTTGTCCAATGCTGTTGAAAGTGACAAAGTTGATCCAACTTTCGGTGGAATAGCCAAGGGGGTGGAAACAGTATTGCAGAGATTAAAGATCATTGAACAAGAAATAAGAGATTTGAAACAGGAGATCCAGGGACTGAGATATTATGAGCACAGGCTTCTCATTGAGCTTCATCGCAAAGTGAACTACCTTGTGAACTTCAATGTTCAAGTAGAAGGTCGGAAAGTACCCAACATGTTCTATTTTGTGAGAACAGAAAACTATTCAAGGAGATTGGTAACCAACATTATTTCTGGCATGACTGCTCTTCGGCTGCACATGTTATGTGAATTCAGGAGAGAAATGCATGTTGTTGAAGATCAGGTCGGTTGTGAAGTAATGCACATTGATAACAGGGCTGTAAAGTGCTTAGCTCCGTACATGACCAAGTTCATGAAACTGGTAACATTTGCTCTCAAAATTGGGGCACATTTAGCAGCTGGGATGGGAAACATGATACCAGATTTAAGCAGGGAAGTTGCCCATCTCGCTGATTCTTCTGTAATGTATGGAGCAGCAGGAGCAGTTGCTGCTGGAGCTGCTGGAACTGCAGCAATGGGACGGATAAATGGAATCCGAAACAGAAACAGGACCGGAGATATTCAGCAAGACCTAAGATCAGCACAACAATGGGTGGTGGACTTTTTAAGGGACAGGAGGTGCTCAACCGGAAAGGATATTGCAGATAAATTTGGGTTATGGAGGGTGAGATATAGGGATGATGGCCATATTGCATGGATCTGCAGAAGGCACATGACCATCAGAGCAAATGAAATCATTGAAGTACCTATTTAGAATTTGCTGGTGTACATGTAATAAAATGGTTTCTCATTTTCTATCTAGTTTGCCATGGATTAAGTTATAATAACAACCTCAACAGCCACTGCAGCATTTTGGAATGACAAAACTTGTTAGCTTCCTTAAATTTTGAATGTTACTTTGATCTTATGATGGAATAAAAATGTAAATTTTAGGATTAAAGTCCAATGGAATCTTTTAACCTAATTATGCAGAACAGGGGAAAAGCGAAATTTTTGCATGCTCTGCCCCTTTTTTGCCTCAAATCACCATGTGAAGATGGGACCAAAAGTTAAAGAATATGATTACATGCATAAATGACTGTTGATAGATGGAATGTGATTTGCAATTATTGGAAGTTGGAATCAGCAGGAAGGAAGACATGTTATAAAAGGAACGGTTCATATATACTAACAGCAGGCTGCAAAGAAACAAAGCTAGTAACAGTACAAGTCATGGTTTTCCCCCCACATCAGCTAGAACATGTCAACATACAAAGGAAAACAACACATTACATTACACAAATTATTACACCTCACTATTAGTATTAGTCTCCAGTCTCTCCACCCTAAAATCTAAAGTCACCTGTGTGTCTTCCTTTGAGTACAGAGGAAGAAGAGCTTAGAAAAAAGCCCTACTTCCATAGAACACCCGAGAGCCGGCGTTTTTCGATGCCTGTATTTTCTGATCAGTAGTACTTGAATTCTCTGATTTGGTTGGTCCACTGTCGATGTCAAGAGGGAGTTTCATCTTAGCCAATGACTCAGTAAATTGCTGCATGCTTTTCATGTACATGTCCACGATATCCTGCTGCACCACCTTCTGCTCGGGCTCAATATTGACAGAAACAACAGGTTTTGCAAAGGAATCACTTTGTGCCACAGAAGAATCACTCTCACCATCTCCGACATCTGCAGTTTTCTCTTTTGGGGCAGAAATGTGTTCCTGAGTAGAGGTTTTAGAGGCAGCTGGACCATCAGAGGACTCAGAGCTTGCAGCAGCTGATGGAGATGATACCCCATTAGTTGACACACTGCTTGGAGGAGAATCAAGCTTGGGAACTTGGATGGAATTGACAGCAGCAGTTGAGAAGCTTTCCACTACATGAACACCCATGTCCGAACTAGGTTGATTTTCAGCATCCGAGGTGACCAAACTTTCGGAACTTTCAGAGTCCAAATTGGAACATGAGATCCCAAAATACTCAGAAACCATCATCTGGTTCTCGTTCACAATTTTCGGATCCGGGAACTCGATCTTTTCTAGCTCGCACTCACTTGTTTCTGAATCCTTCACAGTTGCATCAGCAACCAAATCTATAGGCATTGCAGGAATAGCAATTACTTCGGGAGAGGATCCAGCATATGCGAGAGACAATTGGACAAAACCAGCAGGTGAATGGAACAGATCAGTTGAAGAAAGAGAGAATTCTTTCTCTAATTTCCCATTCTTGAGGAGTACTTCAGACAGCGGCACCAACGCAAACCCCAACAACTGGTCTTCAAGATAATTCCTCACTCTACTCATCATGAATATCTCGATCTTGAGAGAGGAATCAACAGTTCGAACATTGAGGCGAAGATTTTCATTGAACACTGGATTCCTCCCACCACCATTGATGATTTTGGTGGAAACTGTGCTTTCAGGATCACTAGTGAGGCAAAGCTTAGAATAGACATCCTGCTTCTGGTAAATGCAGATGTTTTGGATGTCTCTTGCCTGATGGACATAAACCTCAAGAACACCAATGAAGTTCTCTTGGTTGGACACAACAGCTTCCCTTCTGTTAACATCAGACCCATTCAACAAGCCACCGGAGTTCCTAGTGAAAAAGTCGGATTTCTGCTTCTCAGGCTCAGCTACGGCAGAGCTCTTGAATGGGGACACAACTGACTGGGGGGAATCCATGATAACACCAAGAAAATGAACCTGGCAAAGCACACAAGAAATACCTCCTTGAAAAATCAAGTCACCCAAAAATCAAAAGGTAGAAAATTAAATCTCCCCCAAACCAATTCCAACAACAGAAAGCTTCAAATTTAGCCAAATAGAACTCAAAGCTGACACTAAGAAACAATTTCCAAATCCAAAACCCGATGAGAACCTAAATCCCAAAATCTTCAAGCAAAGCCCTAGTTCATGAAAAATTGAATTGAAGTCAAATTATGAACCTCTATGTTGCTAAGAACCCATGCCACAAACCTAATCCCTTCCCCAAGCTGAAAGAAGCAAAACCACTACTAAAGCTAAAACCTTCCCAAAATCTAGTAGTCAATGACTCAAAAGATGCGATTTTTATTAAGCTAACAACTTCCAATCAAAGACCCTCAACCTCCAAAACATGAAGCAAAGACAAAAGCTGAAAGATAAACCCCAAATCCAAAACCTTTCTAGCCCTTGCTTTTAACAAAAAAATTCTTCAATTTTAAAACCAAGAAACCAACAACCCAAAAAAGCTGGAACCTTCACTAAACAGCTTCAAAGACATAACCCCAACTGAACATAGCCAAAACCAGGAACTTAAAAGCAAACCCCAAAACTCAGCTTGAACTGAAAGAAACAGAGAATTCCCTCCCTCAAAAATGGATACTTTCAAGTGAGCTAGTTTTCACAACCCCCTGAGAGACTTCAGACTTAATAGAATGCAAAGACCCATCAACAGTCACACGCCCAGATTCCAATAAAGCAACCAACTTTTCTTCACAATAACCGGAATCTAAGGAAGAGTAAAACCAGGGAAAAAGCAAAACAATTATATAATAAAAAGCAATTAAAATTCCCAACTTTGCTCTTAACTTAAACAAATTCAAAGCAATAAAAACAAAAACAAGAAGAAAAAATATGAATTATATTCACCTTGGGCTTTTGGCTTTATGCCTTCAAAGTCAAAAGAAAAAAAAAAGAACTGATTTTTCTCTTTAGAATCTGTAGCTCTAATCCGAGATCTGGACAGAACCCAGTTCCAAAATCGAGGTGCTTTTTTGGTTTTTCTGATCTTTCTTGGTCCTGTTTTCCCTTTCTTTCTTTTGGTTTCCAACAAGTGAACTGGTTGTACACGGCACTAAGACTGTGTTCTAATAAAAAAAAAACAAGACAGAGAATAAAATCTTACAACAAAAAATGAAAAACCCAACACAGAGGATTCTCAGGGGCGTGTGTGGAAACTTGTAGTATAGAGAGAGAGAGAGAGAGAGAGAGTGAGTGTATGTCTTTGGGGCTGTTGGGTCGGTATGCTCTGGATATATTTGTTCCCTTTTTTTTCCCTCCTTATCTACTCCTTAATGATTACAAAGACATATACTATTTCTGCTTACTACCCTCCATTTGTGTACACTGTCAGAGAGCAATCATAATTAAATATGTTCTTCCATAATTATGTAACTATAATTATACAGTAAGCAAATTAATACCATCTTCATCTCTTTCCCTCTCTCTCTTCGAATAAATATTCTATACTTAACATTTATAAAATTTCGTGTTTTACCCGAGTTTTATAACTTTTTTTTACATGATAAAAAACATATAAACTTATTATTAAACCAAATATTCAAATATATTAAATTCTTAAATTTTACTCGAGTTTTATATATATTATTAGATCAAATATTCGAATGTCCCCGGATATTGAACATCCAAACATAAGCCATTTGGAGATAATTTGAGGTTGTAAGAAAATTTCGACCATCTATTAAAGTAATAGTTATAGTTTTTTCTTTTCTTTTTGTTTTTCCTGGTAGGAGGACTGTGAGCACCGGCCCACGCGGTGAGGGAAGAGAAATGGGCAATGGCAGAAGGGCCAATGAGAAGGGAAATTTGTGCGGTATTTCATACAGGAAGTGGGGACACCAAGCTCATGTTAATGTGATTACTGTTTCAACTGTGCAGCTTGTCATGTTCTGTCTCTGCTGCCTGCCTGCCTGCCTGCCTGCTGCCGCCCTTTTCCTTGTGGGTGCTTTTTGCTTTTCCTTTTTCTTCATCTTTTGCTAACGGTTCAATCTTTGGGATTTCTTCAACTTCATCTCCTTGCTCTTCAAGAATCAATTCACCCTAAATTTATCTGAATTTTACTGGCTTCTATGTTGGTATGTTTTCTCTCTATTTCCAGAATTTTCATTTAATTTTATTGTACTATAAAAGTCTAACCTTAACTAGATCGTATTAAGATCATAAGTCGGTTAGAATATCACAATCTATGCTTAACTATACAGATTATTTATCTATAATATCTTTTGTTCTTAATGTCAATGTAGGTAAAAAAATCATAATCAATTTAACGAAAATGGTACATCAAAGAAGTAAAAAAATTTATTATCCTGTCTCAAATTTTTTTTAAGGTGGAGATTGATTATATCTTGATTGTATACATTTATCGTTTTCACTTAATTTCTTCAAATTTATTTCATCGAAATCAATCACTTAAGAAATTCATAACATGTTTTAAAGAAAAGGGTACATCAAAAAGGCTATTAGAATACAAAATTCGACAATTTCCACTTACTTTCTTCAGTCATTCGAGTATCAATTGATAAGTTCGTACATCTCAATGAAATCACGAGAGTGTTTAGAGAAATATGTTCTTAAGCGTAACAAGTGAAAATGCAGAAAAAGTTAAACCGATCTACAAATCTATGCATGTCAAAGTTGGAGGCTAAAAGGTATCATAGCAGCCCCCTTGTCACATTCCAATAGTTCAATGTACCTTTAACGTTTTCTCATGCTTTGTTAACTTAATTATCGCAGTCGTACTTATTATAGGTTAAATCAATAAGATCATAATATAATTCTCTTTATTTATTATTATTTAATTTTAAATTAAATATTTATTTTAAAAATTTAATATGATATTAGAGCAAGTAATATATTTACTGATGCTGTTCCCTCCGTGATAAGTTATCTCATGACAAACCTTGCAAGTAAGAAACAATATCAATTGAAATATTTTAAATATATAAATATAACATGAGCCTCTTCATCTACTATCAATTGAATGTTCTGTCTTAAAATTTTGACAAACTTGCAGGATAACCTTGTGCTGCAATTTTGGGAAAATTTACAAGCATGGAAAAGAAATGGGAATTGATCAGTTTGGGATTTTTGGCCACTTATCATTGGATTTGTTGTTCATCCTGTGCTTGCATCCTTCCAAGTATGCAAAAGAGAGCAAGAGATGTTAAATTCAAAGAACAAATTTTCAATGTTTTGACAATACCTACTCTGAATTTGGCAGTATCCCAAACCAAAAAATTGAAGTGAGATCAAAGTAAATAAATTCTAAAGTTCTGATATGATAAATCCGACAATCATGCATGATTGTCAGGCAGCAGTATTTTCCTCGGGAATTAATAGTTCTAGATGAAATTCTTTTGTTTACTTTGTGTTTTTAACAATGGAATCAATGGGAAATTTCTATTCTGATAATGACAAGTTACCTCCAAATTATGATAAATGGAAAGAGGGTAATTGATTGGGAAATGTTTTCGTTACTTATCTATCCTGATTGTGGAAAAATAGAGAAAAATTAAGGCATTGATTGCAAGTTCTCAATGCATTCTTTGGGCATGATCAACCATTGCATTTCTAGTTTATTTCTTGATTCATCATGGTTCACACACCCTCCTCCCCCACACTCCCATTAATGACCATAATTGGTATTTGAATTTGTATAGAGCAATTCATCATGGAAAAGGGTTTTTAAGTCTATCCCTTGTTGGTGAGGACCATACTGTTTCAGTCTTTCCCCATGTGAACTTGAAAGCAACCCTGCTGCAAACACCCAACAGCCACAGGCTGCTGCCAATGCAATGCCCTTTCTTCAATGGCAAATCTGAAAACTTAGTTCCAGCTTTTGCCATGTTTGCAGTCAAAATCATGCATTTCTAGACCCCCAAAAAAAGTTTGGGTAATTAATTTTTGAGTGTTAATTCAGATGAGTCAATTAGTAGGTGGGTTTTAGACTATTCAAAAACTTTTTTCTTTAAAATAAAATAAAAAAAAATCAAAGCTCAACCCCCTAGTATCCAACTAATAGGAGGCTCTACCTGGGAGGGAGGGGAGGGGGGAAGGCAGGCCAATAATTGCAAAAGAACAAATCAATCAATATTCTTTTTGGTGTGTGATAAGTGATAACTCCTCTATTATTAAGCAAGTATGATAGATATAAATGATGGTGTTATATACCTAAAAAATTGAAGGATCTTTGTAATCTAAACTCACCCAAGAAAACCCAAGGGGGAAATGCTTTTACTTTGTGGTAAGGATCAAGTTGTTTGAAGGGGTGGAAAATAGGAGATGTTAGATCAATCAAAGACTTAAAGCAAAAAGTGAAAAGGATGTGTAGTATTCTTAGGAGAATGCTTTAGGGGCAAAAATCCTCCCTCCACTGAGGGAAGGAGGAGGAGAAGAAGAGAGCACTAGCTTTCTAGCAATGGGGCCCCTTGTTATTTAACATGCTCCTCTCTCCCCCCTAAAGTCTTGTGCTGTATTATTCAAACTAAAACCCCAATTTGCAAAGCCAAAATGGTAGAAATCAATGACCCTTAACTATCCCTTTGAAAAAAACACCCATCTAAAATCCATCAATGGTAGACTTTTGAGGGGACGGCACATGTGGCCCACTTGAACCTCTAAACCAAACAGTCCTTTTCCCTTTTTTTCAATCAAGGGGGTGACACTTGGGTGGGGCAGAAAAGGGTTTCCCATGATAGGGATAGGAATGGAGCTTTCTTCCTCCCTTCACCTTGTCTTCCTTCTCTCCTTTTTCACCTTTTCTTTTTAAGGGTGATATAGAGAGATGAGACCAATTTAAGTATAATTTCATGAATTAAAATTCTTCTCTTTCTTTTTCCATATGCATATGTATTGCCACTAGCATAGGTACAAAGCCCTTAGTCCCCCCCAGTGATTATAATAAGTTATAATCCTTGTAATTTCACCATTGAAGGCAATAGTTTGGTTGTTGAAGAACCTTTTTGGTGGGTGAGGTCTTTTTGAAAATTAAAATGATGAGGATAATAAACTATTAATTATAACCCAAAAAAAAAAGTCCTTTTTTGGGGTCTTGATCCTCTTAAAATTGTCAAGAATCAAAACTGGGAGAAGCTTCTTTTCTGGGGTAGAATATTTGTCAAGCTTTGAGGCTCCACTTGAGAGGAACAGTGTGCTAAATTAAATTAATACTCTCACCAATTTGCATTTCTCACTTTGAACTTTTGTGTTTTCTTTGCTGAAATGTCAGCAAATCTTGACTCTACTTGGCATCATATCAGACAGATAACTTAATTAAACATAGCTCAGTTTGAAAAAATTTGCTGCAACCCCATCCCCTATGGCCATTTGTAACTACTGTCAGATGCTTTTCTACGTTGTTGTTCAAGCCCCAAAGTCTTTCACTTTTTGTAACGTTGAGCCCTGTCAAACACAACCAATCCCACATTCTCCTGTTAAACAAATTTTAGAACATTCTGGTTGTTGTTCTTTTTATATTATTTATGCTCCTGGTACAGTGAAGTTAAGTGATAATGTATGAGTATTATATTCTGACGACTGTATTCAATCATATTTAACTTTAATAACTCTGGGTTGATGTTCTTGTGACATTTTCACAGGTAACTAGTAAAAGCTATATCCAGCAAAAGGAAAATTGCCCAAGCAAAGAGCATACTATTTCTACATAATCTGATAAAAAGATATGAGGTCCAAGTGCTCCTTAATTCAGGCAGTGAAATTTGCTTTCATCTGCATTTTGGGATGCAAAATTTTTTGTTCTTATTGCTTTGGACCAAACAATTTTGGAAGCTGAAAAGAGAATTAACTTGTACCTTACAACAAGGAAGAAAGAGTGGGCAAGGGAAAACCAAAGACAAAGAATGGGATGAGTGAAAAAATGATCACATAAACTTTTATCCAAATCTGCAGACTACAACAAACTTTGAATGTGAAATTTCCATTGTCATTGAATCATTTCCAGTCAAGTTTTCGCTGGCATTAAGAACACTGGAGAAAGTGGAAGCTCTTGCCATTAACACTTGCGGCAGCAGGGAAATCAATAATCAACGTCTGAGCAGTGTGGAGAAGCTAGAGAAAGTGGGGAGGCTCAGCTTTTGGGCTGTGACAAAAGGCGGCAGATTACAGCAAAGCAATTGGCCTGACAGAGACTGTATAAAAAAAGAAAAAGGTTCAGTGCATTTATTAAATCATGAGAAGCAAACTTTATATTCAATTACAATTTGAGAAAAGTGACCCCTTGGGGTGTGATTGAACAAAATG